CCCCCCCCCCCCCCCCATTTCCCAACTTCCCTCAACACGAAGACACGGAACCGTTGGAACAGTCAGTAACTTTGTTGCTAACTAGTCGCCTTTTTTCCCACCTACGTATCAACATCTTCCCTTCACACCTTTGAACAAATTGTGTTTCCTTTGAACATTGAGAAAAGAGAGAGAGAGAGACACGCATTGTTACTTCTAAAGTCCTCCTCCTCATTCACTGCTAGGCTACTGGTGCTGATCGTTGAGCACTACTTTCCACAGAACTACTTCAATGAAGGCCTCATCGCTGCACAGGCTGATCAGATCATCCTCCGTGATCTGATCTCCAAGTACTGTCCCAGCATTGCATGCGCAATGCAGGAACTCGAAGTTGACATAACAACCATCACTTTGAATTGGTTCATCGCTGCCTTTGTCAACAGTGTACCCATTGAGGTGAGTTTCCTCCTCTCATCTCTCTCTCACTCGAGACAAGACTGACTAGTTTTACTAGCAATTTTTTAAAATATATTTAATGTCAAGTAGAGTACAATTATGGATGCTGTCAAATCAGTCGAATGGGAAATGATTGTTTTGTCTCGCACCTTTCACTCTTTACTTGCAGAATCTCAAGGATTGATTCCTCGCCGCACATTCTAAATTAGGAATAAGTAAAAGGAATTGCATTACAGAGCTGAACTTCTTGACAAGATTTTAAAACAAAGGAAATACCTCACCACACTTATATTGGCTCATCATTGGGGGGGTCGGAGGAAATGCCCTTTGGCGAGTTCACATGAATGCGATCAATGAATGACACCATGACATTTTGTAGATCCTCCACAGCTTTCTCCATCGAAGTTGCAGCCTTAATAGAGGTGTGAGATCATGTAAAAGGGGGAAAAAAAGCACATTACATGGGAGGGGTTTTGGAATGGTGCCCACCTGATAGATGCTGCTCTTCACTCCATGAAGACTCTCAACAATATGCACGCGAAGAGACTGAAACCAAGGAGAGCCTCTTTGGAAGGCTTTGTCGATATTTGTGGCATACAATTTCACAGTCGCCACACGGCTATCCGCAGTGGTTTCCTCCTTTGTGGAGTTCTCCGAGGAAGGTGAATTTGATATGTCAGCCTTTGGGGTAGATGTTGCCGTTTCTGTAGTTTCCTCCGCCATAGCTCTCGCCTGTCCAATACTTTCCACGCCTCCTTTCATGGTTTCGTTCCCACCAACATCTTCTGCATGCAAGGGCTGAGTCTGGACTTCCTCGATTGTGCTTCCATCTGTGATGAAGTCTGTGGCGGTGGATGGTTTGATATTGGATGGAAGGGCATCAAAGGTCGTATTGACGTGCAACTCGTGGGCCTCGTTGTCTTCAATCTTCCTTTCGTCACCACTGAAGTCTCCATCTATGTCTTTCTTCTCGATGGTCACGATCTCCTCCTCTTCAAAGTCCACTTCAGTTACTGGGCTTGGTGGAACTTCTGAGGGGGTTTCAGAGTGATTACTCTTGTCTCTGTATTCTTCGGTCTCAGTTTTATCAACTGGGCTTTCATAGGCATTCTGGACGTCAGGGTTTGAAGTGGTTCCACTACCCTCCAACGCACTGTCCTGATTTCCTGTTTCGCTATTGAAAACCACGTAGTTTGTCGTGGTGGTTAAGATTTGGTCATCCACATTTGTAGACTGGCTTATCGAAATCCTCTCCTCGGTACCCTGATTTTGACTCTCTTCAACGTCTTCCGTAGTTCCTTCCTCCTCTCCCAACTCGCCTTCCATGTAACCAATTTGAATAGTAGATTCACTGTCATCTGACACTGCAGTAGAACTTCCATCAACCTCTTCAATGAGCGTTTGCAAGCCTCCTTCAGTAGTCACACTATTTGTGTCCACTTCACCACTTGACAAATCAGTAAATCCATGTTCGTTAGCAACGAGAGCGCTGTCACTAGTCACTTCTTCAGGAACTTGCTCCGTTACATCGCCATCTTCAATTGGAAGTGTAAACAATTCTGTGCCATCTTCAGATGAATTAGATGACTCATTGTCTCCACTGTTTGTTTGCATAACTAATGGAGTTGACGTTGTATCGATGGCGTCAGTGAAGGTCTTCACAGAGGTGTCACTTGCTAAACCATAACTTGTAGTCGTTGACATCACTGCCAGATCGTCACTTCTACAAAGAGTAAGAAGGTAGCGCAACCGTGACAATTAGGGTTCCTCAGCAAGTACTCGATGCTTACATCAAGGCTTTGCGAAAGGAGAGGTACATCACACTTCTCTGTCATGTCAATGTCTTTATAATTCCAAACAAGTTTTAACGTCAAGAGAGACATTTGGATTTACAGCTTGTAGACTGTTGGTACAGCAAATCCTTCATTTTGGATGCTGACTGAACTCCTTATCCCTACGATGATTTTTATCTGCATTGCTGAAGTTGACAGGTTGACAGCTGTCAAAACGATGGCAATGTAAAGAGCTACTGTGTAAAATGAAAGACTTTTGGGTTATGCTTTTCACATAAAAAAGGCCTTTTCATTGCAAAGTATAACAAATTTATCCAACATTAATGTGATTGTAAAACAAACAGTAAGGAAAATTGTCAGATGTCAACGAGATCTATGCCTTTGGCACGGTCATTTTAAGCCTCTGACACATGACTCAAGCATCGAAATTGTCAAGCTGGGCTATCAAAATCTACCTC